GGGGGGGGGGGGGGTTCCATCTAAGCAGAACAAAACTCAAGCCCCTTCATTTTTTAAAGTTCCTTTCTTCTCCGTTTGGTCTGCACACTCCTGAGCACGGTCCATCCACTCAAGTCTTCCTTTTGAAGTGGTGGATAAAAGAGGGATAGTGTGAATGCCTGCCTGATAGGGTGAGGAGTATAGACATGTAGAGAACAATGGAGCAAAGAAAAAAAAGGCTGTTTATCATCACAGTTTGGGAGTCATTGCTTGATTACAGCCAAATACCATTTGGCTGACCAAACAGCGCATGTGAGCTAGCCAAACAAACAGCGCTAATAAAGCAGTAAAAATGCCACAGATAGCAGGAAAGGCAACACGGAGCGTCGGATCAGATGCAACACACGGCCCTGCTAACTGGTAGCGCCTGTGATCTCTGAACTCCTGAAGATGTTGGGTGGAGATCAGATGGAGGTACACATGTTGGAGAGAATTTATGGACGAGACCGGAGCTGACCCCAGCCCACGGGGTGCTGATTAATTTGGGCTGTAGCCGCTAAATCTGTTTATGCTAGCACCTGCATTACGGTTTAAATATATGCAGAATTGCAACCCAGTAGCCACCAATGTTTGAATGTTTGCATTGAATGTTTCTGCAAACCACTGGATGCGTTGAATGACGGGGTTTTCTGAACCAAAAAAAAAACATTTCTACACATTTCATAACAGCCTTGTTTTGCGCTAGCAGAAACACACAATGCCACGTGGTTAACGTTGTGAGATGGTTGTTTAGGTGTAGGCACTACTTACGAAAAAAGATCATGGTTTGTGTTAAAATAATAACGTAACGTAACAACCGTAACAACATTACCTAACATAAGCAACAAGTGTAACAGCGTTACGTAACAAGCGGAACGTCAACGTTTTGTTTTGGTTTCGCACGGGACAGCAACAGCGGTCTACTGGGTAAAAGTCCTGTGTTTGACCAAATCCCCAGCCCTCCAATCCGCCCTCAGTGGACTCTTTTTTGTTACTTGTTATTACTGGTTATTCATACCGAGTAACTTTCAATAACGGTCACTCGATATATTCTACATCTCTTGTTCTGCGAGTCGCAAGAACGTACAATGCCAAAAAACTTTCCTGCCAACTGAGCTGTGAGTCGTTGTAGGCCAACGAAATGTCAATGTGAAATATCGGCTTTGAGCGACAAAATGCCTCAGACGGTCTTTTGGTTTGATTTGCCATTATTAATGTAAGATCTGAAGAACAACCATTTTTGAAAATGGAAACGATCTTCTCCAGGATCGTTGCTTCCATGTGTGTGTTTCTTAAGAAGTACCTGTAAATGTAGGGGCATAAATCACAGCCGTTCTAGTACTTGACATTCTTAGTGCTGCAGTTAAGCCATCAGCAGTTCCCACCCATTCTTGACAATGACATGTGATGACTGATGTATCTGGTACTCACCGGTCATGTTGAACTTGTGCAGCACCTTGGCGAAGTACTCCTCCTCCTCCTGCTCCGTGGAGATGTCCGTATGGACCTCGGTCTGCTGCTCCTTCAGCATCTCCTTGGTGCTGTTGTAGAGGGACAGCAGGGTGGTCGGGATCTCCTCCTCGTCTCCCGCCTGGTCTGCCTCGGGCTCTTTCGGCAAGCGCAGTTTGCTGAGGATCTGGCTCCTGATGGCCTCGATGCGCTTCTTCTTCACCATCTCCAGGTCCAGCGTCTTACACGTGGACATGCCGCTCACGTTGCCCACCGCGTACACAGCCACGAGCGCCAGGAACGCAAGCTTCATGGTGGCGACCGTTTGCACGCTTTGGTTCTCAGCGAATCCTCCCTCACCTTTTCTCTCGCCTGCTTAGAGAGCGGTGAATCACTCGGTGGGTAGGTGTGAGTGACGCGAGGTGTTTACACACCAGCAGAACAAATAAAGCAGTGTGGAGAGCCCGCAAAGTTCTGGACTACTGGTGCCACCGCTGTCGCTGTAAAAAAACAAAACACTTGCGTCTTCTTTGAGGGGATGGATGGAGAGAATCTCCCAGTGGGCGGACAGACGTCTAGTGACGAGCCAGCCCTCTGACTCAGCCACACAGGTAACGCAATGACGTCCCAGACGCTGAAATGAAGCCTGGAGCGGAGCTGTCAAATGCTATGAGAGCGCCAGCCCAGCCAAACGTGCACACAGACAGCAACACCCAAAGACTCAGAAGACCCTCAACGAGTCCACAATAATCCACCAACCCTCTGAATCCTGTCTTACTTGAGTATTTTAAACCTCCACGTGTCGGCCCAGTCTCCTCTTTACATGTCCTCAGGGAGCAGCAGAGCGAATGTGAAGGGAGCCGTGTAACACTCGGCAAAATGAACGGTTCTGGCAGAGCTCAACGTACTTAATATCGGAGTCTGACGCGTTTCAGCTGACACTGCTTCCTGTCCTCCTTGACCCACAAGGTTTCTTCACAGAGCACTCAGGGCTGCCCGGCACATGGACGCGATGTCAAGTAGGCCCTCTCTAAATGTCGAGAAGGAAGGGAAAACAGCAACGATGACCTCCTGAGCTTGAAGTGAACAAAAAAACGGTCAATTTTGAAGTTTGATCCGATGACCCCAGGGGCTTAATTAAGCGTCGACCCCGGAGCTGATCAAATATCCTCGGCGCGGGGAACGAAAGTCCAACCCAGTATTTTGGAATCTCACTGACTTACTCTTCACCAGTTCACAAAGCGATGCAGTCAAGCCATCAAGAAATGTCCCCGCAGGACAAAAAAAAACATCTGATAAAGTGGTGTCGCTCTCCCGCTCTGACTACCTCTTTTTTTTTTTAGCAATAACAGCATGTGATCTGTGCACAGCTGCAGTTCACCAGAAAACGCTTTCAACACCTCATGCCTCACACACACACACTCACTCACACACTCACGCAGGGCAGCTGTATCTGTGTCTTCATTCTCAAACACAATAATGTGATATCGGTGTATCAAGTCTGAGCAGCTCAAGCACGCTGTTGCCCGAACACTGTCCTCTTGTAGGGAAAGTTTGACACACCTTCTCTTTAACTGAGCGTACCATCCACAGACACAGCAGCAGCAATCGAGTTCCTCAACACTGTTCTGAGAGTCTATCCATCCATCGGTGTTGCCTCCTTGTATGCCCTGTGCAGCTCCTTCACACCTTCCCCCTTGAGTCTCCTCTGACACGACTCCCCTACTCGCACCTCTATTTAACTCCCCGTCTCTCTCTCTCTCTCTCTCTCTCTCTCTCTCTCTCTCTCTCTCTCT